GTGCGTGCGTGCGTGCGCGCTAGTATGAGTATGCTATTATAAAAGTGTACCGTTTTGAAGGTTTTATTTGTGGAGAATGCATTTGCGCCCATCTTCTGCTCTGGTCCTTCCTGACGCAGCTTGTGGTACTATTTTATACATATAATGTACGAGTGCAGTAAACCACCGAGGTGGGTGGTTGGCGGGTGATCTGGTGTGGTTTGCTTCTTATTTCCTGTCAAACGTCTATCGTCCTTTTCTCCCCTTTTTCTTTTTTGTTTGTTACTCTCTTGTAACAGCTCTAATCTTCTGGCTCTCATATGACCTTATGCAGTTGCGAGCGCCATAAAACCTTTACTAAAACTAAACTAAAACCTCCTAGTATGCTACGAGCTACGTGTTCACCCAAACTGTAACAAACAGCCCACCCAGAGACTAGAAGAAAAGATTCTGTTTTCGAGATTACACCATGGCATAGTATTTCATAGCTCTAAGGGCGATCAAGTAACCCAACTTAATGGTGCCAATGTAACCATAGAATGTATTAGCCGAGTTTGCCTTCCTTGTATTTCATAGTCTACTCACATGAGAAACTGAATATTGGAAAGGTGTCCACATACGACAACTTTTATGTCCATTTAAAAAAGATTTCTGCGTGGATTTTACTGTAAAACGTTGGTCAAAGATGCACCCTCCCCAAAAAAGTAGATTTGTAGTTTCCAGGTTTCGTAAATAGCTACCTATCTCATCTCATAGAAGCTTGAGACCCACTGAAACCTGTTAGGTAACTGTAGCCGCCTGAATTTCTCGACAGATTCAGTGAGCGTCACCAATAGTATGGTCGGTTGTTTTTTAAGGACAAGCGGGCTAACACAGATTTCGGGTTTTTCCAGAAATCTTGACCTACACCAAAAGTGGGCATTGTCCTACCTATAGCAGAAGTTTGGTTTTATTATAGTGTGTCAATTTGTTTGGTTATAGAGAAAAGTCTCCTTGTTTTTTTTAATGAAACTGAACGAGGGGCAAAAACTTAACGTTCGATTTTCTCAAAGCAGATTTTTCGGGAAAGCCCTCTTCTTGTCCTTTAAAGCGACCATAATATGTACCTAGGGCCCCCTTACTTTCCCTGTGAATTGTTTGACCTTGAGTGGTGGAAAGTAAAATCAAGTTGT